TACCCTCTCTAAATAATCCAATGGACACTAAGGGTTAGATGATCATTTCTTGATATAGGTGAGATCATCTTTGGCATTGGAGAAAAACTGAGTCATCTTGTCCATCAGAATACAGAATAACAGAGTTAGAATAAAATAGAATTGAGTGAACAGAACAGAATTCTTTTTATTGGCCAAGTGTGGTTGGACATACAAGGAATTTGTCTTTGGTGCAAATGCTCTCAGTGTGCTTAAGGAGAATAAAATAGAATATATTCACGAAGAATCATAAGATATAATACTTAGGGATAGTCATAGGCTGTTAATAAGCAATCAAATTATACTAGGAAGCAAATAAAACAATATATATTTTAAAGATGCAAGCAACATGGTTATAGTCATAAGTGGAAAGAGATAGGTATTTGGAAGGAAGAGAAAAAATAATAGTAATTCAGTCTTAGTAGATAATTTGACAGTGTTGTGGGAATTAGTTGTTTAGCAGAGTGATGGCATTTGGGGGAAAACCGTCATTGTGTCTAGTTGTTCTGGTGTGAAGTGCCCTAGAGTATCATTTTGCGGGTAGGAGTTGAAACAATTGATGTCCAGGATGCGAGGAGTCTATAGATATTTTCACAGCCCTCTTTTTGACTCATGCAGCGTACAGATCCTCAATGGAAGAGAGGTTGGCAGCCATTGTTTTTTTCTGCAGTTCTAATTATCCGTTGAAGTCTGTGTCCGTCTTGTTGGGTTACAGAGCCAAACCAGACAGTTATAGAGGTGCAGATGACAGACTCAAGACTCTGTAGACTAGAATATTCTGTAGAACTGAAGAGTTGGAAGGAAACTTGGAACCAGAAACTCTTCTGCTTCGATGCCCTTCGTCCATACATTAGATTAGGTTTCCAAACACTTTGGTTTCCTGGCAATTTTGCTATACAATGAAAGGCTCTCTTCCTGCAGAGGCCATTAGCATAAGTCATGCCTACAAGTTCAGACTGTTTGAAAAGTGAAATATTAGGAAGGGAAATTTCGGTGACACATTGTCCTCTCCCCTTCTTTTTCCCCGATCGCTTTCCCCTTCTTCAATATTTATGCTCTGCTTTTAATATTTAATATTAAACACTGGAGATTTTTGCTTATATGGGCTTAAGTTATTTCATCTGTTGTTTTTAATTAGTCTCCTGACTCTTCCTCAAAGTTCTGCTCCAAATGTCTAAATCTCCCGTCCTGTGTAATGTGTTGTATATAAGGCAGCCAGCCGCTCCTGCTTAAAATTCATTAAACTTCTTGTAAGAATTCAATTTTGCCACGGCTGCAGTTTCGCTAGTTTTTGGTCTCTCCATCTTCCATCCTCAGCAGAGTTTCACTTTCCCAATCTTGTGCCAGCTTCTTTCTTGCTGATTTTCAGCGCATGTCTTCATAAGTTGCGATCCTTTTTCATTCATGAGGGCAAGAATTATTCCCCATAAAAATATTTGGGGTTTCCATTCAAATGTTTGGGTGGAGGAGAGTTTGGTCTAGTCTTTAGAGCAGGGGGGGTCAGCAACCTGTGGCTCTGGAGCCGCATGTGGCTCTTTCATCCCTCTGCTGTGGCTCCCTATCACTCAAAATACGCATCGCAACTGACAATGTGTGATACCAACCGGCATGGGATTTCTTGAGCTTTTCGACTCCAGTTAGACCAACCATGGTTAAATCCAAGAAAAGTTTCTGAAGAAAACAGAACATTTAATTAAACTACATATGCTACTTCTGTGGCCGCTCAGGAAATAGGCACGGGAAGAGTTTTGTAGCTCCCGCTGTTTTCTTTTCTGTAGGAAATGGGTCCCAATGGCTCTTTGAGTGTTTAAGGTTGCCGACCCCTAGGTTAGAGTTAGATTTCAGGCACTAGACTAGAAAGTGGGAGAGCATGAGTTCAAGTCCCATCTTAGCCAGGAAAGTTTGCTGGATGACTTTGTGCCAATCACCAGGAGACTGGGAGTTCTAGTCCAGCCTTCAGCAAGAAAGCTTGCTGGATGACTTTGTGGCGATCACCAGGAGACTGGGAGTTCTAGTTCAGCTTTCAGCTCAAAAGCTTGCTGAATAATTTTGTGACAATCACCAGGAGTTCTAGTCCAGCCTTCAGCACAAAAGCTTGCTGAATGACTTTGTGCCAATCACCAGGAGACTGGGACTTCTAGTCCAGCCTTCAGCATGAAAGCCAGATAGATGATTTTGTGACAATCACCAGGAGACTGGGAGTTCTAAGTTCAGCTTTCAGCACGAAAGCTTGCTGAATGACTTTGTGACAATCACCAGGAGTTCTAGTCCAGCCTTCAGCATGAAAGCTTGCTGGATGACTTTGTGGCAATCACCAGGAGACTGGGAGTTCTAGTTCAGCTTTCAGCACAAAAGCTTGCTGAATGACTTTGTGCCAATCACCAGG